GTCATGCTCCGAATCTTGACGCCGATGATGATGATGATGATGCAACTCCATTGGCATCGAAATTGGGGAGACGCCACATGGATATATGTATATCTCGATCGCGATCTGCGGCGATGCTGTGCAGGCATTTTTTAATTTCCCCCGAAATAAAAAAGCGTTTAAGATTAATGGAGTCGATTGTCGAACAGAAGCTGATGTCACCCGCATAGTCAATATTTCCATTTTTAAATATTTTTTTTTTGGAGCCCCTCCCAATATCCGCCGCTCTGATTATGATTAACGATTAGGACGCCATGGAAGAAGCTGCCAGCCCGATCGATCTGTAATTGGCAGTCAATTTCGTCAATTGAAAAATCGCCCCAAGCATTTCCGCTGATTAGGCCCATCCCCATCCATCGTTCGACTCCGAATTCAAATAAATTTCACTCATTAATTTGCCCCTGGAGTTTAAACCAGTTTTGTATCTTCTTAGGAAATTTGTATCTCTCTCTATTTATCAATCAGCGACTTTCAAATGGCAAGAGATGTTCGTTTATCGCTTTTAACGTTTTTAAAAAAGAAAATAATATTACTATTAAGATTTGAATAAAATAAATATAAGAACCTATCCCTAAATATATAAGGTATATTGTAAATTTCAACGTGATCGGTATATTATAATCACTGTCATACAATGTAATAAAAAAAAACACTTGCATCCTTTGCCTCGTTTGTATAACTATTTATTTTGATGGGTAATCTAAATCAAAGTCGAACAATCTTAGAACCCCTATAGCTTAAATCACCTTTATCGATGGGCCCTGCGACGCCTTGAATTTGGAATGAGACCTACCCAAAAAAAAGCCGATCGCCTTGCATACTAAGTTTTGCGATGGGATCATCATCTTTGATTCTTGGCAAACAATTTCCTAAGCTTTATTATCGCCTTTTCGCATAAATAGAAAATTTAAATGCAATTTTCGAACACATTTTAATGGCGTCATTTGCGCGTAAAATGTTGCTTGACTTTTTCTATGTCTTTTGTTGAGAGAGATTGGGATGATGACACAATGGATATATAAATATATATATATATATGCATATATAGTCCACCCACACTGCCTCCTGCATTTTGCAATAACTCAGAAGGCAAATTGCGACAGTTTAGGAATTTCCCCATCCCAAGAAATGCTGTTAATGGGTGTTGGGTGATGTTTTTTTTCTCGTTGCCTTTTTCTATTTTCAACATTTACGCAATGCAATAGTTCAACAATAATTATTCATATGCCGGGGACTTACTCTACATATATTTATATATACATATATAGAGTATATAGTATATTTGTGCCCCCACAGACGCGCCATGCAAATATTAAATTACAAAAGTTGGTTGGGGCTACAAAGTGAGAAATGAAAAGTCAGGCTGAGAAATTGGTTTACCCTACACTTGGGAGTTAGTTTTCAATGTTTAGTCTATGAGGCAAATAGCTGAGTGCATTCACTGTTCACCTTAATATTTAACCATAATTTTGACGTGCAATAATTTTAAATCATCGAGGGTGGAATGAACTCCAAAGAACACGAGCTTCACGTGTAAAAAGCCAAAAGGGACAGAAAGGGTTTTGGTTTTCAATTATTAATGCTTTCTTAGCTTTTTACATTTGCTGAAAATATGTAATTAAATCTACTTGCGAGCATTGTTTCTATTCTAATATCAATGAATGTTCGTTTAAAAATCATTTGTAATTTTTGAATGATAATTGCGAGTTGCATTTAAGGGTATTACTCGATTTGCCCACTTGCAACTCCTAACTTTCCTGCCCCGCCTCGAATTAGAAACTTTCGTCTCTGGTATCTTGTCGCCATCTATTTATAAATGCTTGCCTCATAGCCAAGATCTCCCCAATTGATTCCCCGATTCCGCCCAGTTTTCGTTTTTTTTCCTTACAAAAATGCATACGTCAGCCAGGGAAAATAGATTCCGGATCCGCAGAAGCGAACCGTCGAGTCTGGGAATCTGAGAATCCGAGAATCCGAGAATCCCGACCAGGTCACATTCGGTTGCCCCAATGACTAATGGTAATGGAAGCCTTCCTTCACTCTCTTCTGGCATGCCAATTTGACAAAGTTAACACTCGGCGATATCGCCAATCAGCATTATAGGTATAGTACTGAAAGACTAGAAATAGCAATAGGAAGTTAAAAGCGAGACACCAGACACTTCACTCGCACCTCGCACATCTCGTTTGTATAAGTATAAACAGTTTTAAGTGTGCCAGTTGTCCCTGCTCCGCGGCCCCGCCCCCTTATCGAGTCCCCGCCCCTTGGTCAATGTCTGAACTTGAGCTCAAGTGGGTGGAAAAAGGGGGAGCACGAGTGAGCGTTAGGCAGCCTCAGTGTAATATTTAAACAAATGCTCGCATGACTCTTCCACTGAAAATTGCATGTGATCGCTATGCGAACGTACGGGTGCACAGGGAGAAAAGCTTTAGGATATTTAATAATTATACAATATTTTTAAAAATATTATTTATAAAGCTAAAAATCGTATAAATATAATATGTCATAAAATTGCAAACATATTGGTATAATAAGTTCAAGCATTAATATTCCATCTTGTAGGCCATTTTCTCAGTGATCCAATAAAGCCAGATTGGCTGATATATAGGCAGCCGGTCACATGTGTGATCGAGGGTCCAACATCTTGTGTCCATATGTTGCACAAACAAACAATCGAAACAGAAACCGTGAAGACACGAAAACAGCAAGAAAACACAAAACAAGGAGAACGAACCGAAGGGAATGTGCCAACGAACGCATCTTTACACAGAAACCCAAAGAAAAACAAAGAAAACATAATCCCAAAAGCTGAAAAAGAAACCAAAACGATATGGCCAAGTTGGAAAAAAAAGCTGCGAAATGAATATTTTTCTCATCTGTTGGCCTGCCTGCCGTTTTTTTTTTTGGTTTTTGTCGGGGTTTTGGTGCTTTAATTTTCCTTCTTGTTTGCTTTGCAGTTGCCGTTGATGATGCAAATATTTTGACAGTTTGTTTGACAGATATCGGGGGATATATCTCGGGGGTATATGATGAGCGATATAAGCCAAAAGATCATAAAGGGGGGAAAGGCATACCCTTGTAAGGCCGGAAAAGGGCCATCGAATGGGGACCCATCTGCATTTGTATCTGTTGATGTAAACAACTCAATTCAGTTGCCAGGCGAAGATCAGATCAAACAAAAGAGATGCCATATGGAAAAAGTTTCACATTTCAGCTCTTAAATAAATGGTGTAATTCCGAAGCCAATTGCATAGTTGCACATTTCTTTCATTACTTATTGCAAACTTTAAGTGCATTTAGTTTTAAGAGGATATGTTATATTTTAAATTAAAAATGTAATACATTCGTAAGGCAGAAACTATGATGACATAATGTACTACCAGCCAATGACGTTGAAATAGTATAACAATTACTGATTAGTAATATTTTTAGCTCTTCAGGAAGTACGGCTATCAATCTAGAACGGATAAAACCCAAGATAAACAATATCTGGCACCTCAAGTTGCCGGGCCACCTGATCGTATGCGCAATTTCCAATGGCCAACAATACGCATACGCCGGATGGGCAAAAGCGGAGGATGGAAGATGAAGGATGGCGTTATCGAGCTGCAGTGCAGCAGTGACCTCAATTACAGACCGATTTGCAGTGGTTCCTTCTTGGAAGTGTGGGTCCCACCGATAAGCCCCACGAACACCATACAATGTACATACACATGTTCGAATTTGGCCTCATTTACGCAACTTCCGATGTGATAAAAAGTGTGAGCGCTGCAGCAAAACAAATCGAATCAAAACAACAGTCGACAAAATGGAGTAGAGCACCTACTGTCCATCGAAAATCGGACCTCCTTATACATATACACATGGATTCGGTGATTTGAAATGTTAATTTAAGAAATTATTTCATTGCAAGACAACGTCTGTGGGCAACATGTCATTAACACTCGCTGATAACGCCCTATCATCGCCGCTCATTATGGTGGAAAAACATATACATTTATACGCACACCGACCGAAACCCTGCATATAGATAGAATTTAGAACTGGAACAATCGACTTCTCATAATAATTGGCAAAGACAGCCGAACACAATCGCATCATTCAAAAGCCGCAGCTAAAAAGTCGTTTCGATTTTGGAAAAAAAAGAAATAAAGTCGGCGTCTGTTTTTTCGAGACTGTGATAACCCCCGTAGATGACCTGATCATTTTATTTTTTTGGCCTCTGGTCAACTCGAAGTCCGGTCCTTAACAGAGCGTTTGAATTTCGAATACATAGCACTTCCTAATTTTACAGCCATTTGGGGAAGAGGCGGGGAAACTATTTTCAAATCCACTTAAAATACCCTCAGGGCATCAATATATATTTTTATGCTAATCACCAAGTTCGTTTTGTTTTTCTCTTTCCATTGGGAAAATAATATGTGTGTCATGTAAAATAGTTCAAGTTCGTCGAGGGGCCCCGAGTTGTGTCATCCGAAATGAGAGATCGTTGGGTTAGAGATCCCAAAATGGAAGTGAAACGGCTGATAGTAAGTGAAATGGTTATTTAGCATAGGATATATTTAGGTTGTTTTGAATTAAATGAAAGATTAAATCTAAACTAAGTTTTATTGTTCGGTTTTATGTGATTAACGTTTGTAGGAAATCTCTTTGTAACAGAAACAAACGAGACAAATGTGTTTACCTTTAAAAAGCCAAACTGATAAATTAAATTATATAGCTTGTAGCGAAACGCAAAGCTTTATCGATTTTTGGTCAATTTCAAGCAGCTATCAGTATACATAGTTTGAACTTTTATCTTTGATAGTTTTAGTATCCGTTTTATAGCCCCCGATCAAGGTTCCAAGACCTCCGGAACCGCCTTAATCAATGCAAAGCATGCGATAATGAAAGCGAAACGGACGCAGCTCGAGTTCCCTAATTTCGCGAATATCAGATATCGTAATACTAGTGAAACTCACCTTGGCATTGGTCGGGGGTACGTGGCAGGCGTTGAGGACGAAGGCCACGAGAAGGAGGCGCAGGAGCAGCGACCCCGTGTGACCTCTCCGCCCGTTACTGATCCCGATCGCGATCGCGGGCGCTTGGGATCCCGGCGATCCCATCTTCTTCTTCTTCCGGGGAACGGATGCTACGACGTCTCTGGAATTTTTGGTTTCTTTTGGCAGCTATTTAGATTTGGTTTAGGTACTTGTGTGTGTGAAGGCAGTTTCGGTTCGTATTTGAGTTTGGTTTTAAGCGGTTGGCAGGTTGTTGTTACGGCTATGGCACTGCACGGAGAAAAAAAGCCCCCAAATTGGACATTAGATCTTACTCAATAATAAGTTGGATTCTATTCCTAAGGAGGTGTTTTTTCTCGGTGCACTAAAAAAGGGGGAAACAGTTTGGTGGAGAGCACAGAAACGGGACACGTTTCCCGATACCAGCAAAAAGTGTTGACTTTGGCGAAACGAAATGCTCGAAAAAAAAACCCGAAACCTTCCAGTCTCAGAAGTTCCTCCGAAAAGGCTGAAAGATCCCCTGAGATCTTTGTTTTCACTCGTAGTTTTCCCCCTCTTTTTTTCTTGATCGGGGTGCCACTCGATTTTCACACGCGCGTATCACTATTCTTTCGAAGGAGTGTGGGTTCCTTGTTCGGATCACAGTGGTAAAAGAAAAAGGAGCAAAGGTTTGACTGTTATCCTCGAGGCACCGTTTTCACCAGGATACTTTTAAAGGATTCTTTTTTGGATTCCGGCACTGGGGGGCACTCAAAAAAAATAACAACGCTCCACAAAGAGAGTCAGAGGCACTCAGAAACAAGGCGACAACCGTGGAATGTGCGACCGCCTGGAACGATGGCGCGCAACCTAATGTCTGAATGTCTAAGAACCGTGGCTGCCATTCCCAGCGCTGCCCCTGCTCTGCCGGCGTCGGCGTCGCCAGCCGAAGACGCACGAGGGCCGGCCAGCGAACACGAGGCGGCGGCCGAAGCGTTTTGCGTGCTCTTGTTATTGTTATAACGGCGCTTAATGGCCCGATGCAAGCCTGTTGCGTCGATTCGCTGCACTCTCTCCTCGCCTTCGCCCTCTCTCTCCCCCGCCGCCCTATCGCATGCGTGGGTGTCCGCTTACGCAGAGTTCGCCGCGCCTGCTCTCTCTCTCCTCTTGGCCTCCTTATCCTTTCTGCTTCTGCCTGGGACGTAGAGGCGGGCAAAGGGGGCAAGCTAGCATTTAAAACAGAATAAAGTAAATATTAATTGGGTTTAATTTATTACCTAAAATGTAAGCCCCTTGAAAAATGTTTAATCAAGTCCCGCCCCTGTCCCCCTCTCTCTCTGTGTGTGGGTCAACTGATAAACAAGTGAAAACCGTTGCTCCTTGCTCTCTTTTCACCTTTTGTTGTTGCTGCGGCAGCCGGTTTGCAAATTATCCCTCTCACTCCCACGAAAAGTAGCGCTTACTTCGCACTTTTCTTGATGTTCTGTGCATTCGACACTCGAAAAAAATTAAGAGACTTTCTAAAGTTCTCGTGTTTAAAACAATTATTAAAAATTAAAAAAATGTTGTAAAAAATAAATCCAATATTTCATTTAAAATGCGTTTGAGAACTCTAAAAACAAATTGATGAAAATGCTAAATTTATAACTTTTTACTTTCTGCACCCCAGAATATTTGTGTTTTATAGGTTTTTCTCGGAATGCAGAAAGTGCATGCACCAAGAATAGGCAAAAACCAGGTGCAGCCGGTACATATAACATCATCTTAAAAGTGTGGTCATCCGGCCAAAATCGTCTGCAAGTTTACATTGCGTTTAATTTTTGCAGCACAATACTTAGATCTTTATTGGTCATAATATTATTTTGGTCATGATTTGAATGCATTATTTAGTTAACACAATTCTCGTTTGATGAAAGCACATTTAATGGTAAATTTCTGTGTGTTTATAGCATACGTATAGGATACAAAATGGGGAATAAATAATTCTTTTAAGTAATTTTTGGATACTCAACGCAGTGATTTAGGTATTTAGAGATTGGAGGCTTTGGCAGCGTTCGCGGTTAAGTCAGTTGTCAAATGGTCATAGGTCATGGGCTACGCTACACCTGCCACAGACCGTGACCTTCAGCCCACATCGCCCCCCACCGCCACCCCCAAAAAGACGGCTTCCCATTGGCGCCTGACCCAAATGACATCCGAAAACGACGCATGCGTGTGGATGAATTGCCGGACTTGGATGCCAACGCCCCATATGGTGGACCAATGGACACGTTGCGACTTTCTAGAGCCCCCACTCCCGAAATAATTGTGCTATTCCCAAGGGTCTAGGCACCCCTCCACCCCCCTGCCAACCCCCTTTTTGCCCTTCCATCGGCACTCTAATGTAAAATATTTAATTTGTGGCGCCCCGTAAATTGCCTCAGCTTCCGTTGGCTGATAACAAAAGGCTCTAAAAATACACATGGAAATATGTCAATTACGCCAAATAAAATAATGACAATGAACTGGCTACACTTGGAGAAAATGATGTCCTAAATTAAATTAAAATGAATTAAATAAGAAATATTTTAGCATATCAAACAATAAAATAGTGAAGTTCAATATTTTCAGTATTATGATCCAAAAATGACGAGTAATTCCGCAATTAATTATTTTTTATTGTAAAGCATTCGAATTACTATCAACTTTATCATCACATATTTTTTCGAGTGCTAAATTCAGTTAATATTCGGACATGTGTGCACTTTTAAGCTCATATAAATATTTTTGGGAAGTCAAAAGGTGTCGATAAGGGATCGCAATGTGCTGCTCGGAACTAGAACAAATTCTGAAACAATTATACATAATTATAATTATCAATCTGAACTCTATAAGATTACATACATATACATACAAAGGTTATCCGTTACTTGCGGTGTGAAAAACCCCAACAACATCGTTTTAAATTTGTCAAACACACCACAGTTGTGTGGTGAATATTCCATTCTGTTAGCCACTTTGAAAAGCTGCCTACAGTTTGAATGCCATTGCAAAAGAGCTTTTAGCCAAGCCAAAAAATGTTGTTTATAAGCTTTTTAAAAGAGTTTTCATTAATATATTATTTTGTAATCTTTAATTTGAATTATAAGTAGAAATATATGTTTTTGCAAATTTTTGAACCAAAAAAGTCCGATTCTTTATAGAAAGGGTATACAAGGTAAGGAGGGAACGAAGCTTATACTTATTTATTTATAGATTAATTGGCGACTTCAAAGCACAGACGATGGTATTCAATCATAATTAGTGTCCTAACAGCCATTAAAAAATGAGTACAAATAGATTAAAGCACTGCAAAATATTTTGTAGTTTTTGCTGCAATCGAATCTTGTAACAACATTACCCTACGCAATTGATTGATTTTTAATTAAAATTCTCATAAGTAAAATATTATTATAACATGTACAAATTTTCTTTAAAAAATTATTTCCTTTTTCCAAGCTAAATTCTTCAAAACATACGTATAAAGATAATCCACATAAGCACATTACTTCTGAAGAGCATAATAATAAACTCAAGGGCCATGTTATCATTTATCCCTTTGACAAGGATGTGTACTCTTCTGTCCCATTTCCACCCCTCATTTCAGCGCTCACTTCTACATTTTCCGAGCACTTTTTTGGTTTCCGTTACCGAGTTGTACGCTAAATATTTGCCTCCCCCTCTTTCTGGCCAAGTCACGTGTTTCGCATTGGCAACTTGTTGGCCTTTTGCATACGTAAAAAGTTTGGTAAAAGGGGGAGTGCATTTCGGTTGGGCGTCATTTTGTAATTGAAAACTAATTGTTGCAGTGAATAATTAAAAATTAAGTCTATTTTTATTGCACGTATACTTCAGGCAAAAATAGAAAAAAAAATTGTCTGCAAGGCCATTAATAATAAAATACGAATAGTAAAGTGAAATATTAACGGGCAAATAACCAGGAAAATTATAGGACACTGTTAGCGCTGAATTACCAAGAAAATAGAAAAACAAATAGGTTTTAAAGAAATCATTTTCTTATTTTATCGAAGACGTATTTATAAAATTTTGAACTACACTTTTAACGAAAAATGAAGACCAAAATATTACTCATACGACAAGTGGGCTAGGCAGCAATTTAATTCCTTCAATTGCTAGTGATAAATCACTAGCTAAGAGTCAACCTCACGTAAAAGTGATAATCATTTGAGTAGTCACGCAGCTCTTAATGTATTTTATTGCTCTGACGCAAGAAAAATTATGTGAAATGCCATTTTCTAAATTAATTTAAAGATTTCAATTTTGGCATTGGAATTTAGCTAACTTTTCAAATATATGCATGCGTCCCAAAGAAAATTGTTCTGCTTATATAGAAAAAGATTTGATGCTTTACCTGGAATCATATGAGTCAGAACTATGAAAGCATAATTTCTTTTCATTTTTCTACTTTTACGAGTATAAAATTCACCTGCAGCTGACATACAGGCCAAGTTCTAGGGCAAATGTCTAGAGCTATCTTTTCCAATCAGCAAGGTTCCGGTTCTCCAAATTGACAGACGAAGATGTACTTAAACCAATTTCAAGGAAAGTCGGTTACGTGGAAACCCCAGGAACAGTACGTTTTTCCCCCTTCGGAAAACCCAACAAGTGGCGGGTAACAAGTTGGAAAAGTGCAGTTTGCATAAGGAGAAGCTTCAACCTTCGGTGTAAAAATGGGGGAAAAGCCGTTGACATAGCCCCCTTCCCCCCTTTCCCACGAATTTTCCCATCCCGATTGTTGTGCAATTGTCGGGGAAACTGTATGTGTGTGCTCTTAGGGAAAAGGACTCGTTCTGTTGTGCTGCTAAAGCGTTTGCTAATTGTTCAGCTGGCTTTCTTACATTTTTTACTCCTATTTTTATTTTGGCAAGACCTTTGGCCAGGGCTTTTAGCTTAATTAAGGCCAGCGTGCCGGCTTTTGAGTCCCCTCTTGCCCACTAAACGCTCATCAATACGCATCCAAAGGTATATTGCGGCATTGAAATTTAATTTCGTTTCATTTCGCATTTCACATTAATTAAATTGACCTCCTTCTGTGCGAATTTGGTAGCTGTGGAAGGCGGCGCAAAACTGCCAAATGTCAGCGGCGAAAGTTAAAAGCCAAGGGAGGATTTGCAGATAACACAAAAATGTTAATTGTGGTTGGGGGTAAGGTCTATTCAGAAAAAAGATTGTTTAGTTTTCAATTCGGGGTCTCCCATTTTGGAAAAGTATATTTAAGTTCATTTTAATTTTAGACTTATTTTCCAGATTCAGTGGCGGGTCTAGAATTTTGTTGTGGGGTACCCCCCCACAACGAGACAAAAATTTGAATTTTTTCCTGTTGGTTTTTTTCCTGTAACTTGGCCAAAAATGGTCGTACGCCAAAAATACATACTGTTTTGAACAGATAACAAAACAATAAATAAATCCATGACACTTTCCGGGGGATCTTGGAAATATCAAATTTTCGCCAATTTTCAATTTTTTTATAAGGAGGTACCTCATGATTTTTTACGAAAAATTAAAAAAAAATAAAATGCCTAGATTTAAATGCGAATCGATAGGAAATTTAGGAACGAGTTCAGAAACGTATGACAATCCATATTTCGATCAATATTTTCATTGTTATGGACAAAAAACGAATTAAATTTTGAAAAATTAGGATCTGGGTTTTTGGTAAAAATTTTAATTTTTTTCTGTTTGTTTTTTTGCTGTAACTTGGCCAAAAATGGTCCTACACCAAAAAGGCATATGTTTTTGAACAGATAACAAAATAATAATTAAATCCATAACACTTTCCGGTTGATTTTGGGAAAACAAAATTTTCGCCAATTTTCAATTACAATAGACAAGTGTG